TGCAAAAGTATAACAGAAATATTAAAATATAACAGTTCACTGAAATATACATTAATGTCTTAATTACTAATTAAATGCTGAATGGTTATAAAATCAATTTTGAAAAGATAAAGACAGTATTTTACGGAGTTAGTCACTTTGTCAACTGAAAATAAATAAATAAATCCTTAGTAAACGAAATAACTCCATTCACTTTTCTTTATGTCGGGTGTAGAGTTGTTAAAAAATAAGTATACTAAACATAAAATTATTTATTATATTAAAATAAAACTGTAAAAAAAAAAAATAATAAAAAAAAAATTCAATATTTTTACATTATGTTCAATACATTATTTTCGAATTCACTTGAACTCCTTGTTTTTATAGTGTGGTAATATTTTTAGTAAACAGGTGGAATATATTTAAGCAAATTTAACTTTTTTTCTCGAGTGATATTGTTCGAGAAATCGGATATAATAAATTCTGATTTATTAATTTTAGCTCCATTGGTCTACCTACCAGTTTTTTTGCCTAACATCGATTTCTATGAATACATTTACATCAAAAGAATATTATATTAAGGTTTTGAGAGGATTTTTTTTGTCCAACGTTAGCCATCTGATGTTAAGCCAATATACCTTATCTCATTTTTCACTTGTTTTCCTGTTTGTTATGACATCTATTATTTATTTATTTTTTTGTGCTGAAGAAATCGATATGCTTCAAGAAGTGAACAGTAAAAACAATACATTTTTTACATTACCTAATAATTTTAAATCATTCTGCCGGTGAGGAAATAGTTTCGGTTTTGTGGTCATTGAAGAAATTATTAAAGAAATTTTATGTCAACAGTTTAAGGATTTAAATCTGGTTTCATTACGAATTTCATCAAGCTTATAGCATTAATATTAATTGCATTAATCTGTAAAAGTGGAAGCATACATTTCTAAATGTTTAACTCAACATGATCCTACCACTACAGATCCATGATTTTCTTCTATTTCCGGCCAACGATACCTATTAGATTTGTTTCAATTAAAATTATGACATCCAAAATTATGAATATACAAGTTGCGTTTGTAATGTGCAATAGAAGTTCTTAATTTTGGAAAAAATATAGCTTTTTGAAAATCAAAAGTACAGACGTAAGTAATAACTTTTTTCTGTATCTATTTTTAAAGATTCAAATATTGTATTGTAACATAATATTTTATTTTGAAGAAAATCACATGTTTGGCTTGTATCTGTAGAGTGTGTTTTGAAGTATAAATAAAATTTACTAATTAAGACATGATAGCACATTTTTTTTTTTGTCATTTACCAGGCTTTTCTTGTTGTTTTTACAATATTATAAGTATAAACTGTACATTTTTGAAATATTGAAAGAAGGAGTCTGATATTTTGTATTCCAGTTATGGTGTCTGGAATAATTACTTCTACAACAATAAAAAATGATTTTATGTGTTCGATAACATTTGTCGTATTGAGTTTAGCTATAGAAATTGTATGTGTTCTCCTATCTTTCGAATCAGTCTCGAATTTTTAGAGACACCCCCAAGACAGTCTGAAACCCCAAACGTTAAAAAAAGTTTAATACTAGATTCTTGCATCATTTAGTAAAGGTAGAAAATATATCAATGTATGACTTCTAGATCAGACGATCTGTGGCGTGCTGCATTTTGTTTCTTAAATTATTCTATTGAGAATATATTTCTTTCAAATCCATCTTCAATATTAAAAAAAAAAATATACCAGTATGCCGTCTTTCAAAACTTATCCTATCATTACACATTCCCTTACAATGATAAAAATTATTCTTACAATTTTCTGAAGCTGCGGGTTTCCCAACTGTGATTAAAAGAAAGGATATGTGGTTGGAAAATGCAAACAAATAATGAGTTAGTCATTCTGTCAATTGAAAAATATTGATTTTTCTTCAGAAATGAATTTTCTTTTCCTGTCAGAGCAACTAACATAAATGTGTTAATAGGCTTATTCAACCTAATTTAATAAGCATATTCACATAATGAAAAACACTATTTTTGTAAAAATCACAGTTAGTCATTCTGTAAACTGAAAGGCTCATATATCGTCATATATATCATATATTGTCCGCATCCCCGAATACCTTCTTCTCAAACATGGTGTTATTATTTTTGGATTAAATTTTTTTATTGATTTTTTTCATCAAAAAATTAAAATTTCTTAATATGTTAACTCTATATTGGATAATTTCATCCAGGAGCAGTTTTTGTGTTTGTGGCAAAATAATATTATATTTCCAGATCCATAAAGTCAGTGTGACGGGAGCCATTTCTTTTCGTTTTTGATAATCCAACAGATATTTCTTGAGATTTTTGAAAACATATTTTAAGAAGTAAAGGATATCAGCCCAGTAGTCTTCGATTCAATTAGATGGGTTTTTTTTCGAGGGATTCTTACTTGCCTCTAGGAAAGATCAATCAATGTTTGTAGTTTGAGTCACGTTTTGTCAGTTGAGTGAGTTGTACACTATTCTGCGTGTTTTTTTTTTGTTTTTTTTTAGTTTGAAAAAAGTGAACAAACTATTTTATTTTTTCGTATAGTTTTATCGTTTTTTTCAGATCTTTACTATTATTATTATTTTAGAAATTTCATGATATAGAAATAAAACTCATCGAAGTTTATGAGTGAAGAAAATACCTTATTATTATATAACTTTTTTTATTTAAAAAAGAACGTTGAGTGGATCTATCTCCGATATCTATATTTGGACAGGTATATTGATAAGACCAATATGGGGTCAGTTATCAAGCGCATTCCTACTTTCTACTGATAACAGTTAATATTTAATTATTTATTATTAAGGTAACATTGAAAAAAAATATATTACTGAATTAAATATGTATGGATATTTAGATAATTTAGTATAACATTGGTTTATTATTATTTTTTTCTGTTTGGTTTTCATCTACTTCTTCTTTATGGGCGCTAAAACTCATCACTGAGTCTTGGCCTCCTGTTTCACCCAGTGGTCTCTCTCTCTCTCTATTGCAGCTCTGCTCCAGTTAGCCAGTCCAAGAAGTGCTCTCCCATCCGCGTCGACCCCATCCATCCAGCGCATTCCAGGTCTTCCAACTCTTCTTTTTCTTTCAGGACCGAATAATTTTGCTGGTTGGATTATTCTCATCCATCCAGGCTACATGACCCGCCCATTTTAAACACTCTATTCTAATGAACCGGACCACATTCGTACCATTACGTATGGCGGCCAGTTCTGCATTATTCCGTCTTCTCCAATCGTTAGCTGAGTGTACTGGCCCATAAATGCGACTAATAATATACATTTCTTTCAAAGACCAATAGCTTGTTTTAGTCTATTTTGGAGAAGCTCCACGTTTCCGCTCTATATATAAGGACAGGACGAATCAGGGTCTTGTACACAGTCGCCTTTGTTATCATGGAAATTAAGTAATTGCTTAGATACCACCGCAGGACAAAATAACATTTAATTCATGGGAAATTAATTAATCTCAAAACCTCGAATTGGTTTTTCATCATTTTTTGAATTAATTTAGTAGGAATTAATTAATTAATTCATTGTTTAAGAATTAACTCTATAGGAATATTTGTTCTTGAGGAAGATTTTTCAATGCAAAAGAAATTTGATAAAATCAATTATGAATCATCTAGACATCACTCCTCAAGTACCACACTATCCGTAGTAGTTTGAATGCCGGTCGTATTAAACTACACAAAGAATTATAGTTTAAAAATTTATATAACCTCTCATTACTATATGTTTACTTTCTACCATATTCCCCAGCCATTCTATTTTTAACGTTTAAATTAATTTAAAATAGAATTGTAAAATAGAATTTGAACGAATTCATAACGAAAAAAAAATTGTGCACAATAATTCATATTTTCCCAGTAAAAAAACTTTGGATTCAGTAGAAAGAGTCATTTTTGAAAAAGGGCTCATCGAAGGTTAATTCTGAATCATTTATTTACTAATCCCTTTATTTGCAATTTGAACCAAAATAAATATCGCATTTTATTTTTAATTTAGCCGTTTCTATTTCGAAATTCTTTGGCATAATCACAGGCAAAAGTGGTTAATGTAATTTACTCAAATTCATAAAGAACCATTTAGACAAAAACCTACACAATCTCTGAAAAATCTTATAATATTTAGTCCATTAAATAGATTTAGATATTGATAAACAGACACAGAACCAAGTTAATTCCTTGTTGTTTTGGTAAAATGTAAATGGAAATTTACGAACCTGGCCCTAAATTTTTTTAATATAAATTTTTATTGAGAATTAAAAACAAAAATCTTATAATTAGTAAGACAAAATATTATTTCTTCTTTTATTACATTTAGCAAATCTATTGTCGATGTTTTCTTTTTTTTAATTACTTGAACAAATCTCTGGACAATTTTTTTTTTTGGATGTTCATGTTGTGATTTGAAGTGAACAATTATCTGGCTTATTTAAAATAATGTTGTTGCCTGTTTATTTTTACTTTTTTTCTCATATTCTAACGATTTTATTACAAAAATTATATTGTATAATACTAGTACGTCCCCACGGCATTTTAATTTCTTTCTGAACACAATATAGTCTTATAGATTTGTAACTTAAGCAAGAATTTGGTGCCCGCAAAATGTGACATTTGATTGTATTATGTATTTTTGATTCGGTGCGCATCTTTCAAGTGAGTCTTATGTACCAAAAGCTTTCCAACAATTCAGCCTTTTGTAAAAACATCTTGTAAGTACAATGTAAGAACAAGTTAAACTATAAGCATTACTCTAGTTTCTCAGGTAAGCTTTAAAGTAAAAATTTAAGCAACTTTTCATGGTTCCATTGAAAGAAAATATGGAAACAGAGACGAAGTTTTATTTATTCATTTTGTTTAACGTATACAAATATATTTATTTTATGGATTACTTCAAAAATTGGTACAAATATTAAGATATATTATTACACTATATAAAATTATAATGTATGTTACCTTAATCAATTCCAGCGATGACGAAAGAAACGATACTCATACTTCTGGTGCTGGCCCTCTCAGCTTCAACAGAGTCAGCAAGAATACTTGGTTTCTTCCCCATGCCAGCCAGGTCTCACCAATTCATCTTCAGGCCTATACTGGAAGAACTGGCCAAGAGAGGACACGAGATCGTCTATGTAACAGGGTTCAAGTATGATCAAGTACCAAAGGGCATTACTCAAATACCTATCAGCGCTCCAAAACTTAGTGAGTTCTGATATTAACGCTAAGATACATTTTATTATAAAACATCAATGTAAAAATCTATAACATTTTTAGTCAATCTATTGAGTATTATCTGAGTTTATTTTTAAATTTGTTATCGCCTCTACCCTAGAGGGTCATTGGCGGCTAGTTTTCTATACTCTATTGTAGTATTTCTTCTCCATTAATTATCGAAATGACTGACTCGATTTTCGTTGTCTCTTAATATTTCTTTCATTGTTATTGGTAGTTTCAATTTTTGCCGCATGTTGATGGACTCGTGGCACTCTACTAAAAAAAAGTTTTACTGACTGCGGTTTATTGTCACACTTTTGGCACGTGGGTTGTTCTAGTCCTCTGAGAAGGTATCCGTGAGTAAACAGGCAGTGACCAATTCGCATTCTACACAATATGGTTTCTTCTCTTCTGGATATTCTTGTGCTAATAGCCCACTTGTTGCAGACTGTTTTTATTTCCAATAATTTTGACTGTTTATTTTTCCATCTATTTATCCAATTTTCCAACAACTTCTTTTTTGTTGCGTGTACCCAGTCTTCTACTGTGGTATAATTTATTGAAATTATGGTTGGTGCCTCTCCCTTTCTTGCTAAGTTAGCTGCATGGTCTGTTCTTTCATTACCTGAGATGCCACTATGAGATGGAACCCAGAAAAATATCACTCTAACCGTTCTTTCTTTTAATTACCACCAAAAATTCAATATATCCCTGATTATTGAATTGCTTGGCCATGGGTTACCTATTGCTGAGTTATATTCCAGTTAGATTAAATGATTATATAATGTAATTAACAACAATGTCATACCAATTGCCAGTTTTCGTTTTTATTTAAGGCTTAGAGGCATAAAAATCCCGAGGTCATCAATGGCTAGCTAACCGTAATTTAAATAATTTAAATAATAAAGAGAAGAATAGTTGGGGTGCTCAGTCAAAAATGAAGGAAAAAAATAAATTTTTTAAAATATTATAATTTATTTTTTGCCTTCCTTTTTGACTGAGCACCCCAACTATTCTTCTCTTCATTATCCACGACAGTCAACCAATTACCAATTATGAATTTAAATAATAAATTATGTGAAAAAAAAATTAAAATTAAAATTTTGTTTTGTAAATCATTTATTTAAAAGAAAATTTATTACTGACTTTACTTTATCTTCATCATTATTTAAAACAACTTATAATTTTGGTATGAGTCCTAATTTGATTAGAATTGAAAAGTAATAAGGACACTCTTGGATACTGTGACTGACTGTGAAACTACTGTAGCAGTGTTGGCATTTTGGGGCAGCCTATTTGGTTATCAGATAAGAATGCGTTAGGTTAACCAATTGCCAATGATTCATACTAGTTTTTCAAGATAATACAGTTCTTTCTCATTCTCTTATAATCCCATAGTATAATATCATGTTGCAAAAAATTAATTATCAATTACAGAGACGATGCTTACATTTTTGATATTCATTTTGATTTAACAAGGGTGGATATATTAATATTGTTCAAGTACTTTTTTTAGATCACTCACAGAAAAAAAATGAGCCAATGAAAACAAAGTTTTTTTATGTTTAGAAGTGGGGAAGCTAAACTCACGTAGACCTTCACAGTTGTTACTAATCCACCTACTTAGACTTTTGATTGTAGCTGTCACTGCAGCGGAAACTAATATAACTGCCATATAATTTGTGTAATGATAACCTAAAATTCAATTCAGTGCCATAATTTCATATTGCAGGATGCAGATTCATCGTTTAAATAACGTGGTTTCCAAACACATTTGATACAACATATCTCTGGAGTCGATTGAGCCTCAGTCAGCAAATTTGTACCATATGTACTTATTATAGAATTCTTGAAGGAATTTATCACCCATGTACTTATTATAATTTTTTTATAAAATGCACAAGTTTAATAATTTTCCACTCAGTCCCTTTTATGATATTCAAATCCAAAACCCAGAAAATGAATTTGGCTGATTTTCAAAATTCGAATCTAAAAAAGGACAAAGTTTTCAAGATTAAAATTTCATTAGCAAGTAGTATAGTAATAGAGCTAATGAAAAAAAAAAAGTTAAGGCTTTTGCATTGTAAAAACATTCTGATTTCATGTTAATTTTCATTTTTTAGTTATAAATTGTTTACATCTTTACGAATATGATGAATTTTGAGGACAATACATTTAGAGCAAAATATCATCATTTTTATTAATTTTTTTTAGTATTTTCTAAGCTATTTACCAGTTAGATTAAATGATTATATAATGAAATTAACAACAATGCCAGTTTTCGTTGTTATTTAGGGCTTAGAGGAATAAAAATCCCGAGATCATCAACGCCTAGCAAATCTTCATTTCAATTTAATTATAGTTCAATAATTATCTCGTTATAATCTTAATTATAATCTCAATCATTCCAGTAACAAATTATAATTTTGATATGAGTCCTAATTTGATTAAAATTGAAATTTAATAAGTTTTGGAGAATGTGAAAATACTGTAGCAGTGTTGGTGCATTTTGCAGATAAGGATAAAAAATGCGTAAGGTTAACCAATTACCAGTAATTCATACTAGGTTTTCAAGATAATCCAATTCTTTATCATTCGCTCATAATCCCATAATATTTTCCATGTTGCAAAAAAATAAGTATTTTGTTTAGATCACTTACAGAAAAGAAGTGGGCCAATGAAAACAAAGATTTGTATCTTTAGAATTGGGGAATCAAAAATCACGTAGATATTTTGCTTATTTCACAGTTGTTACTGATAATCTTACTTAGCCTTGTGATTGTAGCTGTCACTGCAGCGGAAACTAATATAACTACCATATAATTTGTGTAATGATGAACTAAAATTCAATTCAGTGCCCCGACTTCATATTGCAGGATACAGATTTATCGTTTAAATAACGTGATTTCCAAACACGTTTGATACGATATAACTCTGGAGTCGATTGAGTCTCATTCACCAAATTTGTGCCATATGTACTATTATAATTTTTTTAGAAAATGCATAAGTTTAATCATTTTCAACTCAGTTCCGTTTATGATATTCAATTTCAAAACGCTGAAAATGAATTTAGGCTGTTTTTGAAAATTCGAATCTAAAAATGGACAAGGTTTCCAAGATTAAAATTTCATTAGTAAGCAGTATAGTAATAGAGCTAATGAAAAAAAAAAGTTGAGGCTTTTGCATTGTAAAAAAATTGCAGCGCATGTTCGTTTTTAGTTGCAAATATTTAACAACTTTACTAACAGGATGCATTTTGAGGACAAAAAATTTAGAGCAAAACATTATCATAAGTTTAGTTTTCATATCTGTAAAAATGCCGGAGTTAGAGCAGGTATAATGTGCTGATATCCACTCTCACTACGCAGCAATATTTGTTACGCTATAACTAATAGAATCATTCAAGTCTCAGTGACCAAATTCGTATAACACGTTCGTATCATAATGAGGTTCAAACTGTATCAATTTCATAATTTTTCACTCAGTTTTGTGATATTCAAAATCGAAAATCATCAAAAACATTATCGGCCGATTTTGAAAATTCATTTTTTAAAAAAGGATAAAGCTTCCATGATTGAACTTTGAAACACATGAACTTTTTTTTTAACTTTCAATATCAAACTGCATCTGTTGACGACTTTTAAATATCAGCGGATGGTCTGATTAAAATAACGAAACTGACATGCCAGGGATGAATAGCACAAAATGGGAAGGGATAGCACCCAGCAGTATCACTTCACTGGCTTGAATCGATTACAATGGTTTGTTGAGGAAGTAGGTTTCTCATCCAGCGCCTTTTTGGTCTCCGCCTCTTATTTATGAGAATGTCTGCTGAAGCCGTATCTCTGATTCAAAAGATTTCTTATGTGTTGGTCATCTGTAGGCAGGAGGAGGTCGGTATGTAAGGTTTTGTTTGTCACGTTAGTACGTGACAAACAAAGTCTTAGAACCTTATAAGTCGTAGTATTTTTTATTGGAAAGATTGAAGTTTGTGTAAGTGGGTCCTTTTAGTTATACCGTATAACTGTGAGGAATAAATCCATATTCGTTTTAAGAGGTATAGGTATGTATTTAATTTCTGTCTCATTTCTAGTTTTGAAGATTTGGAAAAAGTGAGTAAAGTACTTTTAGTCATCTATTGAGGTTCTTCCGTTTTATTTTGATACGTGGGATAAAAAATTTAATTTGCGATTTATTACATGATTACATATTTGGCATTATTACATTTTCATAGCGCTGAAAGTCTTTTTTTATGTTTTTTTTCAAACCACTGTCCTTCCTTCTTAGGTGATGTACTGATGAAAAAAAAAAATGCTCTACATTATTACAGTTATTATTTCGGTTAGGTATCTACAAAACTACCAAGGTAACAGGAATTTTCCGAAACATCTTTTCGGTCAAAAATCAAACTCAAAACGGCCAAGGAGAAAAAATCGTTAGCCTTAATTTTTTAAAAAATTCTTTTGAACTCTCAAATAAATATGAAATAAATGTTAAAAAATTATACAAATGTAAAAGTCGAGCAACAACTTTAATTCAAATTATATGATTTTAAATGGGTTAATCCATAAACAAAAATTAAAAGAGATGTAAGTATATGAATCAATGAAGTAAAAATCTAAACTACATGTTACATGAAATATAAAGAAGAATCACTGTACATCATTCAATATACAGATGCAAGCAAACTCAAACAAATCTATGAGCAACCAGGAATATTATATTTTTATTTAAATGTTGTAACAGTTGATTCCATTCAAAAACAGGACAACAAATAAAGCATATTATTTAGTATGTCAAACCATTATAGCATGGCTTGTATTGAATATTCACTACTTTAAAAATGTATTATATTACACAAACTTTATTCATGTTTCAGCTAGTTCCAAACAATTCTCATGGATAGAGTTTGGGGAGACCAACATACCATTAACTGTTATAACACTTTACGAGATCTTTCTGTCACTCGCTCCCCACTTTCTGAGTGACTCCAGGGTTCAAAAACTGATCCACTCAAATGAGAAATTTGATGCTGTTATGTTTGAAACTTACTTCGTACAAGAGTACCTCTCACCGTTGATCCACAAATTCGGAGCAGTTGGAATAGAAGTTATGCCTCTAGGTAAGATCGTTTTGAAGTACAAAGTTTAAAGTTGTATACATAAGACAAGAAAGTTGTATGTTGGATATTGACCATCGTTTCTTTCTATTTATTTTATGGCATGTACACGTTTAATCTGAATAAAACTATATTCATCCAATTTATTGTTTACTGTTAGAACAAAAGTAAACTTTTAAAATTGTTTAAAGTTTTTTTTTTTGGTTGTAGTTATTAATTTAATCAAATCAATCCTTTATTGAGAAACATTTCTGTCACTTCCAAGGACACTAGTAATACTGATAGAGAATCTATATTCTATAAATAAAAATAAATTAAACAACAGAATATTAATACTAATAGTAAATGTATATGAACAACAAGAAACTAAACTAAACATAGTAACTACTTAAAAACACACATAATTTCTTACAATATTTACATAATTCAACCACTCAACAAAACTCCGAACCAAGCCTTTTCTCACCACTCGTGGAAGGAAAGGCAAGACTCTAGTAGATCCCAGCGCCTCTCACTCAGCTACATTTCTGGTATTTAAAGATTAGAGATTTTGTCTCATGCAGGATGTAGCATATTATACGAAGTTAGAACTTTCAAGGTCAAACATTGTAACACCTCTTCTATAATCAGCTTTAACGGGCACTTGAAATTTTTGCAACGTTAACGTTCGCGCCCACATTTTGCACTCCTAAATGAATTTACCGATCTATTTTCGATATTTTTTGCTGAAGGAAAACTTATCCTGATTTTAAGGGAATAACGATGCCTTAATGTATTTTGCAAATAATGTATTGCACTAAAATATTATTTATTATCAATTTTTTTTTTGTAGATAGTATCTTTTACCAGTTATCATGTGGTATTATTTTTTAATTTAAAAATATTGTTTCTCCATTATTTCCCACAAAATAGGTCCAGTTATGGTCACACCTAGGGCTTTACCTAGGGCAAGAAGGAAAAAAAAAATTGGTGCAGAAAGGTCAAGACTATAAACTAATAAAATTATATATTTTTATCTATTAATATATATATATTAATACCGGGTCAGCTAGGCTATTTATTATACTTAGTTTAATTATTATTATTAAAACACTTTATTCAGAAATATTACAATTTGTCACAGTTAAGGACACTTATAATAGAGTTCAGAGATTGCATTCATACCGTATATACAAAAATATAAATAAATAAAGTAATAACAAAAGAATAAGAAGAAAGAACAAAAGAGTAAAGAAAAAGAAAATATATATATATACACATAAGTAAATAAAAATAGAAATGAAAGTAAAACAAACACCTTATATAAAACATACATTATTTACAATTTGCCAGGTGATCTCCGAACCAATCCTGTCCCCTCCACATGTGGAGGGAAAAGGGAGGCTTAGGAGATCCCTACGCTTCTCCCTCAGCCACTTCACTGGTATTTTAAACCAGCGGAGGATGAGTAAGAGCGCTACAGCCACAGACACTCATGACTTGAGTGGAGAATCTGGCCATTGCTAGAACTCCAAAATATCCATATTTACAAAAGGTCTCGTGGCCACTGCCGCTTTAACCTACGAAGGGGATTGTAGGGATGGGTGGTGCTTGATAGGGATTGTACAACGGGATTTGGGTGATGAGAAAGGTTCTGGTGAAATTTGGAAAATTTGGCTGGGATAAGATCAAGAATAAATGGGATATTAAGGTCATGGTGTAGGGTTTTATTGGTTACATAGAAGGGAGCATTGACTATTGTACGGAGGACTTTAGACTGAAAGGATTGAATGCGTTTGATGTTAGAAAATTTGGCTGTTCCCCATAGTTCTAGTCCGTAAGTCCAGATGGGTTTCAGTATTGTCTTGTAGATCAGTAATTTGTTTTCACCAGAAAGTTTAGATTTTCTATTCAGTAGTCTATATAGCTGGCCATATCGTCTGTTAAGTTCCTGTCTTTTAAGTCGAGTATGTGGATTCCATGTTAGTCGTCTGTCTAAGAGAAAGCCAAGATACCGGACTGTATCTGAGAAAGGAAGCTGGATGGAGTTAAAATAAACTGGTGGGCAGGTATTACGCCGAAGGGTGAAGGTAATGTGTTTACATTTAGATTCGTTTACCTTAATGCGCCATTTCTTACACCAGTGTTCAATCAGGAAGAGGTGCCTTTGTAAGTTTGCGGACGCTGTTTCAGGATCTGAGTTGGAAGAAAGGATAGCAGTGTCATCAGCGAAAGTTGCCAGGAGGGTATCGGGATGGACAGGAATATCAGCGGTAAAGAGAATGTAAAGGATGGGGCCCAAGACGCTGCCTTGAGGAACGCCAGCCTCAATTGAGTAACAGTCGGAGAATTCGGTGCCACAGCGAACTCGGAAGGAGCGGTCGGAAAGATAGGATCGGAGTACTAGGTATAAGGACTGTGGTAGATGGATTTTAAGCTTGAAGAGTAATCCGGCGTGCCATACCCGGTCAAAAGCTTGCGCTATGTCCAGAAATGCACCCGAGCAATACTGCTTGCTTTCTAGGGTTGAGGATATATGGTCAACAACTCGGAGTCCTTGCTGGACAGTGGAATGTTGGGAACGAAATCCGAATTGATGAGTAGGAAGGTTATAGGATTCAATTATAGGTAGGATTCGTTTCAGTAGGATCTTTTCAAAAATTTTTGAGAGGATTGGGAGTAGGCTAATTGGTCTATAGGATGCTGTATTGTTGGAAGGTTTGCCTGGTTTCAAGAAGAGGACGATGGTGGAATGTTTCCATAAAAGAGGGAAGTGGGTAGTTCGTAGGATGCAATTGTATATATATGTAAGAAATATGATGGCTTTAGATGGAAGTTGTCGAAGGATCTGTGGGGTTAGAAGGTCATATCCAGGAGATTTGCGAGGTGTGATTTTCCGTAAAAGGTATTTGACCTCAGAGGGATTAACAGCTTTAGGTGGTAAGGAGAGTGGGATAGGTATTGAGAGGGATTCTTCTACTTTTACTGTGTGGCTGGGATGGGATTCTGGATGAGGAGCGAAAGTATAGGAAAGGTGTTTGGCAAATTCCTCGGCTTTATCTTCATCAGATGCTGCCCAGAAGCCATCATCTCGTCGAAGAGGGTGGGAAATATGATGGGATTTGAGGATTTTTCTGGTGATATTCCAAAGAGAATTATCATGAGCAGAGAGTGTGGTGAGGTAGGAATTGAATGATTGGGATCTGAAGGTGGCTAACTCTTGTTTTAATTTTTTACAGTGATATTTGTAGGAGTGGCGGTCGGCTGGATGTCTGGTACGTTGCCATAATAATCTGGCACGGCGTTTTATGTGGATTAGGTCAAGGAGGTGTTGAGGTAAATTATGTTTCTTAAGGATTTTTGAGGAGTGATCAGGGGAGGAAGCAGTCCAGACTGCTTCTTGAATTTTGGTAGTGAAGGAATGTACTGCATTGTCCAGGTCTTCAGAGGTTTTCAGGGTTACTCTGAGGTCAATTTTATCGGAGAGGATTTGATGAAAGAGTTTCCAGTTAACTGGGCCTCTGATGAAGGACGGAGGAGAGGGTTTAGGAATAGGAGCTAGTGATACTTGGAGTATTAATGGGCTGTGGTCTGAGGAAAGCTCGTCAAGACGGGCAACGGAATGGTTGAGAGCACCTAAACCATTATGGATAAAGAAATCGAGGATATCGGGATTACGGTTAGGATCAGTGGGCCAGTAGGTAGGTGAGTTGGGTGGAAGAAGGGTAAAATTTTGGGAATTGAGTACAGACAGCAATGTTCGACCACGAGAATTCGTGGTTCTTGAACCCCATTGTTGATGCTTGGCGTTTAAGTCTGCACCCAAGATGAAATGATGTCCTAAGGAAATGAGGAAGGAACTAAATTGGATATTGGAGATGGATTGGTTTGGAGGGCAATACGCTGATGCAACGGTAATAGGAAAGGAGAAGGTTTTGATTACGACTGCGGTGGATTGTAGGAAATCGTGTGTAGGCAGTGGGAGTAGGTGATGGGAGAGGGATTGGTGCACAATGACTGCAGTACCGGCATGTGCTCTACCGTCAGGATGGTCGGTACGGTAAGTTATGTATTGTGGTATTTTTAGGAGCTGTTTTTTAGTCAGTCGAGTTTCCGTTATTAGGGCTACGTCTACGTTCTTGTCTTGTAGTAAGGCTGTTAGTTCGTGTATGTGATTTCTAACACCATTCGCATTCCAAAGGAGAATGGATATGGGTTTGATGGAAGTCATTTAAGGATTTTTTAAAGGAGGGATAAGGTGAGATACTAGGTTAGTGAGAAGTGATATCAGTGGGGTAACAAGGGATTTAAATTCTGAAAGAAAGGATGTCAATAAGCTGGTTAGATCTGTAGCATTAGGCGGTGGAGGAACATATTGGATTTGATGTTGGTGAGGTTGTTGTTGATTAGGTACATTAGGTGGGATAGGATATTGAGATTGGGGTTGAGTTTGTTCTTGCGGCAGGGCCTCACATACATTAGTCGGGTCTCTACCCCCAAGTAGCTTGGCAAAAGAAACCTTAGAGTTCACAATTTTAGCGGGTCCTCTTCTTGGTTTAGGTGTATCATCAGGGTCCCTGGGTTTCATATATCTCGCTTTAAGATTTTTATAAATTTGGCAGCCTTTGTAGTTGGCTGGATGGCCTTCCAGGCATAGGGCACAGACTGCTGGTTCTGTAATTGGTTTATTACACTCGCCAGACTTGTGTGTTTTACCACATTTCACGCAGCGTGGTAAGTGGTGGCAATAAGACTTGGTGTGGCCATATGCTTGGCAATTATGGCACTGGATGAACTCTCTTTTTGGGTACGGTTTTTCGACCTTTACGCTGGTGTAGAAAATTCTATTCACATCGTATATTTTTTCGATCCCAGGCGATGGCTCTAGATCGACGAAAAATAAGGGCAATGGGATTTTATTCTTTACACCTGGTTGTTCTTTATTTTCTTTTAAAACATTGGTTATCTGACGTATTTTGAACCCTAACGCCGTTAACTCTTCTTTAATCACTTCTATTGGGGTTGAGGAGTGTAAATTTCTTATTACAACTCGTAGTGCTCTTTCCTGTTTCAACTGGTATGTGTGAAAGTCCGCATTTGTGTCTGTTAAATATTTTACGATTTTTCGGTACGCTTCAGGTGTGGCCGGTATTATTTTTGTATCATTTATTCTGTTTAGGCATGTATAGCTACCTGGGCAGATTTTATTAAGTTGAGTACACAACAACTGGAAATTTCTCAAATTTTTGACAAAGATAGGAGGTGGGCGTGGTTCTCGAGGTATAGGTGCATCTTCCATTTCTTCCCTGTCATTTTCAAGCACCTGGTATGGATTAGGTGTAAAAAATGGAGATTCCATTTCTTGTGAAGACGTACTTGGCAGTGGTTGAGACACAGATTCTTGAGTGTTCGCTGGAGGAGTTCCGGGGGGTGTTAATCGCTTACTACGACGTGTTTTCTGTTTAGGCGGTGAATTACGTGGGGTAGAGCCAACTGAATGGGACCTCTTAGTTGACATTACTTGGTGGTAATATCGCATATAAAAAAAAAAGAAAGGGAAAAAAAATAAATAAATAAATAAAACTACGTCTGCGTGTTATTACAATGGATGAACCACCGGCTGAGAACCAGCCAGTTACGTGGCAGGGCCACAACTGGAGAGGGGAGCCGTCAGCTGTTATGGCTATAGAGATTAAGCCTATAGACGCTAAATCCCTAAATTCACTGTCTGTAATAGTACACAGTAAATAACAACACTACTCACTGTGGTGTTAGTCCATTGTTGTTGTTTTGATGTCTGCTTAACTAGTTTTTTTTTTAAAAAAGTAAAACTGAGCACTTATTCTACTAAAAAATAGTAAAACTGTGGGACACGACGTGAAATGTGGGTATTCAAATCAAGCGCATGCGCAGAACTGATAGTTTAATTAAAGAATTCATTTATGATCTATCATAAATATTTGTATTCTAAAATTTTAATTATTCTATTTGATTTGTAATTTCTTCTTAATCTTACAAGCGTAGGTTAAGGACATGGTGTCACCGATTTCAATAAAACTTTTTTTGGAAATACATGTCCGAGGATTCTTGCTAATGTGCCCTAGGAGTCAAGAAATAAATTATAAATATAAATATATATATATTTATTTATTTATTTATGTTTTCTGGCTTTTTCCTGCATGGATTTCTAAGTTATTATGTATCTATCGATATTTTTTTTATTTTTTTTGTGTGTAAAATAAGGAAACAATACTGCCGATTGTACTTCACGAATTCTAATATATGATAAACTAAAAAAAAACAAAGACGCTTTCGGTAAAGAAGGCCAAGTAAATTGTTGTCATGAAAAAAAGATTCATATTTATTTTTAGCATCCACTAAAACTCTTCAACTCTTACAATTAATAAGGAGTAAATTGAAATCAATTCCTTTTAAGTAGAAACAAAGTTGAGATTAGTGTTTCTCACTTTGGAAAAACTATAAATACGAATTTTCATTCCAATCGAAGATCAAAATCTGTTGCTCAAATGTTGTGCTGCCTTTAATTTTTTTTTTTTTTTCCTTCCAAAAATCATATAAGTGATAAATGTGACATGGCCCCACCTATTAACACGAAAATCACTGAGGAATTTATAGTATACAATAAATTGCACTAACCAGACGCCAGTAAATGAATTATGCTTGAAAATAAAAAATAAAACGTTTAGGGAATTTGTATTTGTTTATTCAATATAAAAGCGTAAAGTATAAAAGTTATTGTTTATCCTTTATAAAAGCGTAAAGTATTTATAATTTATTTATACGGTTTTGAAGAGCTTTTTTAGCTTTATAATTTAACTTTCTAACAGTTGTAGTAATTTAGACTTAGGAAAACCTGAGGAGTTATGAATGCTTTAGTAATCAGGATGAAAAAAAAGTCCCAAAAGTTTAAGTCTAAAAATTGATTTTTTTTTTTTAAACAAATTCGTATTTAAGAGTTTCAGTAGGCGCTAAAATGGAATTTGAATTGTTTTTTTATGGGAAAAAATTACTATGCCTAATTTACTGGAACCGTCTTTGGGTTTTAGTAATTACCATACATTAGAATTCGTTCAATACAATTGGCTGTACGGTTTTCTTATTTTACAAATCGATTAATTTATAATAACTTAGAAATTAATAAAGTCAGACCTTCGTCGTAAACCAACGACTTCCTGTACTACAGTTTCCTTTAACAATACTCCACTTACCCCTGTTGAGCGAATCCGATACATAGGACTCCACCTGGACAAACGACTAACTTGGAATCCTCATACTAGGCTGAAATGACAAGAAACCGTTCGATGTTTCCGATTACTTCAGGACTTACTAGACAAACGCTCTAAACTTCCCATTAATTACAAAAGACTCATATACTTGACTATAATAATACCTATTTGGACTTACGGAGTTGAGCTATGGGGCTCCATTAAACCATCGAATTCCTCTCGCATCCAATCCTTACAATCCAAAATCCTTCGTAAAATCCTCAATGCTCCTTACTTTGTCACTAATAAAATTATCCATAAAGATCTTAATGTTCCTTATGTTTCAGATCTGGCCCAATCCAGATACCTATCCTTCCATAATAAACTTCAGAATCATCCCAACCCTCTCGTTTCTAACCTTGCTTCCTCTTCAATTCCTGATAACCCTCTGAGGCGTCTAAAAAGAAGATGGCCCCGTGATCTCCTAATGTAGTCATATCATTAGACTGCTACCATTGGGTAGTTACTCAGCAAGTGTATTCATGTCATTATATCTATTATGTCCAAATTTACTTGATGTATTCATGTAATACAGTTGTAAATGTCATTAAGAAATAAAAAAAATAAAAATAAAGTCAGAAAACATAAATATAAAAAAATATAATTTTTTTTTCTCGGCTCTTATGGAAGAACAAGAAACCTCGGACTAGAGTCAAATATTTTTGACCTAGTATCACCAAAAAAACTTTCATTGAAATAATTGACCTCACTTCCGTAAACCTCCCCTAGTTAGGTAATTTACAATAAATCAAAACTTTGCAACAGGAGATTGCGCATGGGTGAACGAACTCTCTGGACTACCAGATAACCCATCTTACCAGATGGACTACAAGTATCCCCATACCAACGACATGAACTTCTTCGAAAGGCTCTACAACCTCTATGTTACCACTACTCTCACGGTACTTGGTTACTATTACCTCCACAAGCAGCAGGCAGTGGCTGACACCTACCTCAATTACACCGGCTGGGAGACCAGGCCTCCGCTTTACAAGATGGTATCCAACAGGAGTGTCATCCTCACCAACTCCCATTTCGCATTAGGATATCCAACTCCAGCTGCGCCTCACAAGAAAGAGATCGGTGGAATAAATATCAGAGAGTCGAAGCCCTTGCCGAAGGTTAGTATCATTAAAGGTTTCAGTTTATTTACTTTAAATATGGTAACATCACCACAGGGTCATCGGTGGTTTTAACATTCTGTTAAAACTTTCAATTCTCTCTTAATCTGGTAACTGTTTTTTTTTTAAATTTGTTTATTGTTATATGGCCACGTCTGTCTTCCAAATTCGTCTACTGAATGGCTCTTATATTTTTGAAAGTTTCTTGAACTGTTCTTCTTTAAGCTCTTTATTAATCAATACAGGTTAAATCAACACTTTTACGGATATACCTCCTTCCGCAGTCATTACAGCCACACGTTTATTAAGTTTATTGTGCTCTTAACTCTCATACGACAGTCGATTTAGAGAATATTCTATAGAAGATTCCAATGAAAACAACGTAACGTACTCGGATTATGTTCGATTCCTAGTCATGTTTGATTTCGTCTTGCTAATCATGATTTTGTACATCTATTCATATTTAACATTTCTGCTCACTGATGTTAAAGTTCATTCATTCTGAAGGCTTCTAATAATTTCCAATATTTATATCAGTTCATAATGGCTTTAATTTTTAAACTGTGTCTTGTTGATAACATAGCGCAACATAAAAAAAAAATAAACTGAAGAATTAAGATTTTTTTTATAGAATATTTTATAATTAAAATTAATAGAATATATTCTTGATTAATAATGTTTTATTAAATTCATTATACTATAATACAACGGAATATTTAGTATGGAACTCTGCATTAACATAATATTACTCACTAAAGCATCACTAGATTTGGGCATAATGATTGCTGAAATAGGCAGCTTTTATATAGGAAAAACAAATATATGTATTTGAAGTTTTGTAATTTGGCGCCCATACAAATTAAAATAATGAAAACTTAAATAATTTCTTTTCTTGTACTAACGTATAAAAGAATAAAATTTAATACGGGAATACGCGAGAAAATCTGTAATTCTAATTTGATTTTTTTCTTAAATTTATGTTTAGGGCCTTTTAATATTATTTTTTTGTTTTTTAATCAGGACTTACAAACCTACATGGATCAAAGCAAGCAGGGTGTCATCTACATGTCTCTTGGATCAAATGTGAATGTATCGGACGTCGCCACAGAAAACGTTCGGGAAGACTTCATGAGTGTCTTTAAGGAACTTCCTTACAACGTCCTCATGAAATGGGAGACGGACTATCCTGGAAAATTACCTCCAAATGTCAAGCTCTCCTCTTGGTTCCCCCAGCAAGACATCTTGGGTAAGTTATTGAGATAACATTAATTTTAATATTCTGATAAAGTATTTTATTACAAAAATAATCAACAAATTAGTCACCTATTTCGATGATAATGATAGAATCTTAATATTTAATGAATTTTATTATTGAGGAAAGTATTCAAAAAGTAAAATTAAATAAATATGCAATAATATTTATTTAAAATAAAATAGTTTTTCTTTAAGAGTTTTCACTAGCCAGGAGGTGGAAAAATAATGGCATCTAAGGGATGGGAAAAATGTTACTTAAAGTACATCTTCTCTGACTTTTTTCAGTAATCCTGGATTTCTCATTTACAATTTTTTTCTGGATTCTACCAGTATTTATGGAAACATTAGCCGTTGCCATTTCTTGTATTATTCATATACATATAAACTTGTATGGCATGTGTGGTAAAGAGTCTGTATTGGTCAACTCATGGCAGTATAACGGTGGGTTTCATTAACAAGGATTACTTCCTAGAATTTACTGGACAAAAGATGCCTAAAAATATTTACGACTTCCGTCGCAAATTTGTTTTTTTTTTGTTTTTTTGAAGGGGGGGGGTCATCAAACTTCGCTATTTTGAATGTTTAAAAATATACATATATTACAAATTTACTATCACAAGTATTACTAAAAAAAAATTATATCTTTAAAATCATTAAAACTATATTAAAATCTATATTAAAACTTGTTTAAATCTTTATTAGAAATAGTTATTAAGTGATTTTCATTTGATTTTTTAATTTTTTTCTTAAATTAGTTTAGAGTGTAAGCAAAGAAAATTCTAAAGTACGTTATCAAATATATGGTAAACTTTAAGCCGATATCTGGGTTACTAGCGATCACAAGCTGATCTACGAGGGGGCTTTCGGGCTGAAGCTCCCCCCCCCCCCACAACGGTAAATTATAACCATGTTTTATAGAAAAAAATATTAAAAACTATCTCTTAAAGTATTATTGTTTCTGTAATTACATTTAATAGGACTTCAAGAATCACTTAAACACCATTTCATATAGGTAGTTAATTACTTTCTTCTTTTTTTCCCCAAATTAATTATTGTTATATATATGAAAAAAAATTTTCGGGCTGGAGCCCCTCCCCCAAAATTAAATCCTGGATATAGAGTGTGACTACATTCACACTCTATAAGTCCATTTGACTATTCTTAGAAAGTTGAGCTTTGGTCTTCCACAATTGAAGTTCTTTCTTTTCGTATCTTCATAATCCAAAATCCTCAATGCTCCTTACTTTGTCACAAGCATCCAAATATCTTAACGTTCTACAAGTTTCCGACTTGGCTCAATCCAGGTAGCTATAATAAACTTCAAAACGATCGGCACTCAAAAGAAGCGGGCACTTCTATCTTTGCTTCCTCTTCGATACCTGATAACTCTCCGAGGCGTCTGAAAAGAAGATGACCTCGAGATCTCCTAATGTAAATAAACTATTGGACTGCTACCAGTTGGGAGTTCCTATACAAGTTTTTTCATGTCTTTATATTTTTGTGTTCACGTTTATTTGATGTATTTTTATACTAATGCAGTTAACAATGTCATGAATAAAAAAAACTTTAGAACAGCACTTTTTTTTTTTACTTTAATAATATTTTATTGAGAAAAAAATACATTCTGCCTCTATTAAGGGTATTGAGTATTTAGGATTAATGAAATACAAACATACCAAATATACAATAAAAGAAATAGAAGATTATAACAAAATAGAACTCGGAGTATCAGAATAAATCAAACACGATACAACATTAAATAAAAAAAATAAATAAAAACACATTCATACTTATAGAACCGCACTTTAGCTATTTAAAAATACACGAGTATACAATATATCATATCTAAATCATACACACACAAAAAAAAAGAGAAAATTCTTTATAACACAAATTTCATAGTTTCGTTATCGTTTTTTTAAAAAATCAGTATTTTCAAATTAAAGAATAAAACATTTCAATGCTACAATATACTTATCATGTATGATAGCTTTTATTCTGACCTTTCCATAGTATTGACGTGGCAATACTTGAAACATTGAAGAAACACGATCGCTATTTTCTTAAATGAAAATAACTCATGTAGTCTTCCGCTTGCTTTGAACATAAATCAAATAATATTCGGAAGATTGAATACGTTTTGCACACAATTTTTCAGTTGCATTTCCTCTCCCCTCACTTTAGTAATCATTTATAAAATAAACGATGTATATACCGTAATGGGAACGCTGGACACTAGTCAACATATCTTAAAATTAATAATCTGAGAATTTCTTTAACAGCAATCTTTTAAAGAAATAAAACAAATTAAGGGTGCCTACCTTTGAATAACTTTTGAAGGAATAAACTTTAATTTTATCAAATTTACTTAATGTATTTAATTTTTTAATACAGTTGTAAATATCATGTATAAATAAACAAAAAAAAAAGACTGTGGAAACTTTAATTTAATGTATTTAAGAACTTTTAATTATTTATTTTAATCAACCAATCTATATAGTGTAGTTTTGAATTTATTCAGTAACACTACTTGAAGTAACATAACATTGTGTTAATTTTTTTTTTATAAATTTAATCATTTTTATTTTACTATCTTAAATTGTCGGAATAGGAGAGGAACTTCTAATATTTCCTTGTTTCATAAAAATCAACCAATTCTGTAAACGGATTAATTTAAATTGGGGAGCATGAAAATAATTGTTGATAAAATTAAGCCATGAATGTTGGTATTAGTCAATGAATAATCATTATTTTAACTAACAGAATCTGATAAATGTTCACAGCACATAAGAATTGTGTACTATTCATAACTCATGGAGGATACTTGAGCATCTCAGAGGCTGTACACTTCGGCGTTCCTCTGGTAGGAATCCCAATCTTTGGTGATCAACAAAAGAATCTAGTCTTGGTGGAAGATGCTGGCTATGGTAGAACGCTAAAATTCAGAAACATCACTAAGGATACAGTCGCTTGGACACTGAAGGAAGTTCTTTCCAACAAAAGGTAATATTTAAAAAATAACAACATGCCAAGTTACGACAAGATGATATTTTTTTCAACTTAACATAACTATTGACACTTTAGAACGAGCGCACGAAGAGTTGTTCACTCAAGAATCATGTAAACTTGTTAGCACTATAACACATTAAGCATTTCTCACAAGTTACTTGAATACCACTATTTTATTCATCTTGTATGCAGAAGTAGTTTTAAATATGATGGTAAGTTTTTAAATCAGTCCATTGCGACATCTTACATGGGGGAGGGAGGGTATTTATTAACATATGTGATTTATGGCCCATTTTTTTGTTGTGGCCTTTAGTTGATTGTTCTGGCTTACCAAGCAAAATAGTTGATCGTCCTAATTTTATTTTTTGAAAAAGAAAAGGTCAAATGATAACTTCATTGCGAAATATAACACATATTATTTTTCAATCAGACGAGTGAATTTTCTTTTTAAAAAATATTAGGGGTATACTAATAAAAACTAATACGCTGACTCGCAAAACCTCTGGAAGATGACTTGTTTTAACCTCATATTTTGAACCATGAGCTAAGGTGGAGTAGAGGAGATTGAGTACACGTATTAGTGGGTATAACGCCCTTGTCTTTAAAGCAAGACGTAACCGATTCATTCCTATATAAGTAACAGCAACGTCCTGATGCTGTTACTTATATAGGAATGAATCGGTTACATCTTGCGCTTTAATCACAAGGATTATGCTCGGTAATATTTTTCTCACTCACTCACCATTGCACTTAAATTAGATCCTACAACACTTTTAAGAGTAGTTCACTTCACTTTATCGTTGCTACAAAACTGTTGAAAGAACGAACTGGTTAATAAATTACGTATGAAAAATCTTCAAAATATTTTTATAGAATTAAACTTATAAATCACTGCAGATATATATTTTTTTTTTATTTATTTTAAATGATATTTACAACTGTATACAAAAAAATACATCTAGTAAATTTGCACATTGGTATAAAGACATGGAACACATGTTGAGAAACTACCCACTGGCAGCACTCCAATAATATGTCTACATTAGAAGATCACGTGGCCATCTTCTTTTCAGACGCCTTGGAGGGTTAACAGGAATCGAATAGGAAGCAAGGTTAGAGACAAGAGGGTTGGGATGGTTATGAAGTTTATTATGGAAGGACAGATATCTGGATTGGGCCAAATCTGATACATAAGGAACATTAAGGTCATTATGGATAATTTTATTTGTAACAAAGTAAGGAGCATTGAGGATTTTACGAAGGATTTTGGATTGCAAGGACTGTATGCGAGAGGAATTTGAAGGTTTGGTGGAGCCCCATAGCTCAACCCCGTAAGTCCAAATAGGCCTTATTATAGTCATGTAAATCAGTCTTTTATAATTGATTGGAAGGTTAGAGCGTTTGTCTAGTAAGTGTTGAAGTAGTCGGAAACGTCGAGCGGTTTCTTGTCGTTTCAGTCTGGTATGAGGATTCCAAGTTAGACGTTTGTCCAGATGGAGTCCTAGGTAACGGATTTGTTCAACAGGAATAAGTGAGGTGTTGTTAAAGGATACTGAAGGACAGGAAGTCATTGGTTTACGACGAAGGGTGAAGGTAATTTGATGGGATTTATTGGAATTTATTTTAATTCTCCATTTCTGACACCATTATTCCAGGTTTGTGATGTGGGATTGAAGGGTTTGGGATGCAATAGATGGGTCGTTATTGACTGATAGGATACATGTGTCATCAGCATATGTGGTGATGACAGTGTTGCACTGCAGATATAATTGTAGTTTTACTTTTTTTCTATAAATATAATATTTCATACATGTACTGTTTTGTGAGTGACAGACAACTCACATTTCTAAAATTTTGCAAAACAAAAAAAAAAAATTACATTTGATAAAATAAATTTGTGAAAAATAATTTATTGATTTGCCTTCTTTGTTTTACAGTTCAAATTGAATTGTTTTTAAATATTATATTTTAATTTCGTAATAAACGTTTCAAGAATCGGTGCTAAAACGCAAACACAAAAAGAGTTAATAAAAGACTTAATTAACGTTTAAAAACAAAATTGCCTAGATATACCACCATCCGTTCCTTCGGTCCAGTGAGTTTGTAAATTACTTTAGTACAGGGATAGGAAATAAGCTCTATCATGGGTTGGTTGCCTATCACCGACAACTGTGAGTAAATCCCCTATATGGATTTGCTTTAAGAATTTAATTATCCCCTTTTGGTCCCTGGTTGTGAAATTAAGTAAATAAACACTAATCAAATTCAATAGTCTACATACATACAAGACCATGCTAATCCAACTATGTTTCCCTAGCCTAACTCTGTTGGTGACTTTGCAGGTACAAGGAGGAAGCCATGAGAAGGTCCAAGCTGTTCCGGGACAGAAGGCACAGCCCCGCAGAGGAGGCCGCGTACTGGATCGAGCACGCCATTAAGTACCCAAACGTACTCACACCTAAAGCAGCTTGGCTTTCCTTCGTACAGCTTCATCTTATTGATGTCCAGCTCTTCTTATTGGCAGCAATAGTATCTGTATGGTACATTACTTGCAAGCTGTTCGGTGCCGTTGTGGGACTATGCAAGTCGAAACCCAAACAAAAACCAGAAGCCAAAAAGAAGCTGAAGAAAAACTAATCGGGTTTAAAGGAGAGTGTACTCAATCTGACATATGTGATATTTGCAGGCTAGTCTGTAAAAGTTCCAACTACAGTTTTAGCAACGCATTAAAACGGACTTTACACACATATAAATCGATAAATTTTAACATGGAAGAAAAACTCTCGATTTACTTCAGAATTATTGATATTATAATAAATAAATTCATCGAATAATTTTATGAAAAAAAAATAAAGAACAGTGAAAACATTCAAGAATTTACCTCATAAAAATAACGACGAAGTGGAACACGTGATTCCGAACACAATACGAAGTGATTCCGTTAGTGTTTATGGCCAAACTTTGGGAGATGATTCTAGACAAAATTTTCAAAAAAAAAAAAAAAAAATTCATTTCATACAAGAACCTGTTCCTAAAGGAAAAGGATTCAAGACCAATTATGTGTTTTCTCATTTATCGCGTTTTTAACTGAATAAGAAAGAATTTTTAAAAAAATATTCAAGATAATTAAGTTCTAATTACACCATCTTAAAGCAGACAACATTTTTTTTTTTAGTAAACAACAATTAAATTTACTAAGTTCAATGATAAAAGGGACTTTGAGGAGTTATAATACGGCCGCTGTACTGCTGCAGTTAAAGTACTCATATACAAGTAGCTTATTTCTGTACAGCGGCCGTATAAGCCTACTAAAAGTCCCTTTAATCATTGACCTTAGTAAATTTATTCACTGTTTATAATATCGTAATATCTTAAAAATATTTTGTCTACTTTACGACATTGTACTTAGAATTTAATAACCTTGAAAAGTTTTTGAGTAATATCTTATCATTCAAAAATAACCGTGACTAGCTAAAAAAAAAAACAAATTGTTCTTAACCCCCATTTTTCTTCCATTGAATGAACTTTTTTGTTGGAAACTTTAATGTCTAGAATTACCGCCCAGAATTTCACCATTAAGAACTGAGAAACCCTGTATACACGATATTATCAAAACAGTATTACAAGTTGTCTATGTACTTTTTAAATAAGCAGTCATTATTCGTAGGATTATATTGAATAAGTAGCTATAATATTCTGCTAAAAATGATATTCTTCATATGTATTATAACTCATAAGTTTTATTAATTTATTTTTCAAATAAACCAGCTTTCAATTTTCAGAATATCTTAACCAATTATCACAATAAGTAATGAATTTGTAAATTTTAAACAATGTATAAGCTACGTCGTCACCCCAGAGAAAACTATTTCATTATATAGATATCCTTTTCCCTAACTCATTCGACGAACAGTAAACAAAAACAGTGAAACAGATTTATACCTTTATACAATATTATATTACCAAAATAATCTATTAGAAACATAAAATAAATAAAGCTTCATACTTTGTGAGACGTTAAAATGATTTGAGCGCACTAGAGTTATGTTTTGAAAGCATTATTATAACAACACCTCAAGGTATTAATTTGTATAATAATTATTAAGTAGCATTGAGACTTAACGTTATCGCCCAATGGTGTAAATCCACTCTATCTATTAGTACAATTCCATTTCATTTGATATGCTTGGTCTTTTTCGCTAAAGTCTAGAGCCATATCTTATCTTCCCGTTATATTTTCAATCCCTTAAAATAAGTAGAAATGCCTTAAAATGTTCTTTACATAAAGATGAAACCCCATGTTCGAGGCAGTCTATGGTAGGTAAAAAAAATTTCTGTTGGGCCGTGTCGTGGATTTCCATTGGGATCACTGCCTGGGGCACACTACCTTATATCATATCGGTACTACTAATAAATTAGTTGAGTAATTTAGAGAAGATCCTGGTAGTTACGTCTAATCTGGATCTATCACCTAACCGTTGGCATAGAAATATTATTTTAAAAGGAAGGAGATGGTCCGGGGTGGTGGTCATAAATAGGCTAAATACTGGTAAAACTATTTTTATTAAAAGCCGACGTTTCGATCCGACTTTGCAGGTATTCTTCAGGGCTAGAACGGACAAGATACAAAAAAGATAGAGAATTGTGGAATTTATATAATATTTAGACAAAAAATTATAAACAATGTGCATAAGCTTATTAAAATTATAAACAGTAATTAATAAGCTTATTCACATTGTTTATATTTTTTTGTCTAAATATTATATAAATTCCACAATTCTCTATCTTTTTTGTATCTTGTCCGTTCTAACCCTGAAGAAGACCTGCAAAGTCGGGTCGAAACGTCGGCTTTTAATAAAAATAGTTTTACCACTATTTAGCCTATTTATGGCCGCCTCCCCGGACCATCTCCTTCCTTTATAATGCAACGGTCAACTTTTAAATATTCAAATAGTATTTTTTTTACTAAATTTCTATATTTAGTCAAATGATCATTCTGCTTAAGAAAATATATGAAGTTAAGAGTGCAAGACAGTATTCTAAGAACTTTACGAGACAAGTATGAATTTACCGCGGTCAGATAAGTCTCATATACATATATATAAAAAAAAATTCTATTTTTATTTTGAATAAAACTCTCAAATGTAGACATTTTCTGGAATTTAGCCGCTAATTGAAAATAACAATGCGGCATGCTCACGTTCTAATCATTAAACGAATACATTATTTATAAATGTAAGACAACATAACATTCTTTAGACAATACCCGTGCTTGGCTATGCGGATGATCTGGTCCTTTTAAGCGAAGACACGGAGACTATAAAACTAAATACGTCAACGTTAATGAAAGCCGGTAAAGATCTAGGGCTCGAAATAAATGGTTAGCTACAAAAATGGCGATATCGCTGGTGATATTGATATATAAGGTAACATGTTTGAACAGGTAGAGAAGTTTAATTACCTAGGGTCTATGATAACTGGAAACAACGATATTATAGAATTAATAAATATAAGAAAAATTAAGGTTAGGCTGAAGGCGGGATATGCTTGTTGTTTTTCTCTGACAAAACTACTTAGCTAGCTCATCTTGTCTCGGAATCTAAAGACTAAAATCTATAAAACCATTATCCTACCTACAGTTCTTTATGGATGCGAAATTTGGCCGCTTACATTAAGAGAAGAGCAACGCCTTAAGGTTTTTGAAAATAAAGTATTGCATAGAATATTCGGACCGAAGAAAGATGAGTTAAAAGGAGAGTTCAGAAGGTTGCACAACGCCGAGTTGCGTGAACTGTATCCAGTTAATATAATTGAGGTTATTACATCGTGGAGAATCAAATAGGCTTGTAAAATAGTTGGGCTTAGTAACGAAATAATCCCTAAAAGGTTGATATTTGTTGTACTGTATGGTAAACATCCGAGAGGTAGACCGAAGCGAAGCTGGGAAGATTGCGTTAAAGCTGATTAGAAAGGACTGGGTTTGGACGGCGAACGGCGGAGGGAGGTGAGTAATAAGCAATTGGTGGCGACGGCATCGAACATCCGGGTTCGCTTTGCCTTTTATTATTATTATAAGATAACATTAAAGCCTTCTTTTCATAATAATAGCTAACAGAGAACTAACAAGTACCAATTTTACTATTGTTTTAGAAAATAACCTACCTACGCAAATAACCCTCGTGTTACTTTGCTTAGTCGGGTAAATATAATAAATTATCATTTATTTAAATATTTATAACAAACTATTTTTAATTTTATTTATTTAAAACGTTTTGAGAAGAAAAAAATATACATAAAGTAATAATAATAATAATAATAATAATAAGGCTTAGCGAACCCGAAGGTTCGATGCCGACACCACCAATCGCTTGTGACACACCTCCCTCCACCGTTCGCCGTCCAAACCCAGTCCCTTCAGATCGGCTTTAATGCAATCATCCCACCTTCGCTTCGGTCTACCCCTCGGACGCTTACCATTCGGCACAGCAAATATTAACCTTTTAGGAATTCTCTCGTTACTAAGCCCAACAACTTTACAAGCCCATTTGATTCGCCGCGATGAAATTACCTCAATTATATTACCCGGATACAGCTCACGCAATTCGGCGTTGTGTAACCGTCTGAACTCTCCGGTTAACTCATCCTTCTTCGGTCCGAATATTCTACGCAATACTTTATTTTCAAAAACCTTAAGACGCTGCTCATCCCTTAATGTAAGCGGCCAAGTTTCGCATCCATAAAGAACTGTAGGCAAGATAATTGTTTTATAGATTCTAATTTTTAAGTTTCGGGACAAGAGGCGCGAACTAAGTAGTTTTGTCACAGAAAAATAACAAGCATTCCCCGCCTTCAGTCTAACCTTAATCTCTTCTTCAATTTCGTTTTTTCTAGTTATCGTAGAACCTAGATACCTAAATTTATCTACCTGTTCAAACATATTACCATCTATATCGATATCACCAGTAGTATCGCCATTTTTGCAGCTAACCATATATTTTGTTTTATCCACGTTTATTTCGAGTCCTAGTTCTTTACCGGCTTTCATTAACGTTGTCGTATTTAGTTTTATAGTTTCAACGTCTTCGCTTAACAGTACCAGATCATCAGCATAGCCCAGCACGGATGTTGTCCCGCCCAGATCCAACCCTTTCTCGGTTCGCATTACCTCCCTAATGGCATGTTCTAATGCCAAATTGAACAGGACAGGCGAAAGAGAATCCCCCTGTTTTAAGCCCGAACGAACCTCAAATTTTTCGGACAAATTATTACCGATTCTAACTTTATTGAGTGTCTCCGTCAAGCACATCCTGACTAGATTTACTAGTTTTTTTGGAATCCCTGCTCGATTAGAATATTATACAGTTTCTGGCGGTCAATAGAATCGTAAGCCTTTTTAAAATCTATATACAGCTGGTGAACAATACCGTTATACTCCAATTTTTTCTCTAATATTTGCCGTAAAGAAAATATTTGATCAATTGTCGAACGATTCCGTCTAAATCCGCATTGGTAGTCTCCGATAATTTCCTCGGCGTATTCCGTGATTCGACTGGTTAAGATTGAAGTGAATATTTTATAACATACCGGAAGGAGTGAAATTCCTCGATAGTTATTACAATCCGTCCTCGGACCCTTTT